ATAATGTCATCTAGATGACTGGGTATTGCAGAAGTTTTTATTTGGAGTGTTAAAGGACTGAGTTGTAGTTGAGGCTCGTACAGATGCAAATTATAAAGAATGAGGCCAGTATTCAGCCATCTTGACCAAACAAGCTTAGTCAATAAAGGATTTATTTCTTGGCACAAGGAATGATTTTTTTTCGTGTGGGACACAGTTGTCAGGTAATCCTGAACAGGCAAGAAGGTACCATCTTGTCTGCTTGGGTATCCAACTCCAGTACAGGATTTGGTTCTTGCCCTCTCGTAAAACTACATGTACACCTGTAGCCATATAGCAACTTGACTGTGCTCTTGGCAGGACATTTCATGGATACAGTGCCTTCTTTACCCAGTTGTATAAACTGGGCACTGGCTGGTATTAGGACTGATTTATAGTTCATTATTAATTTATACTTTTGGTATTCAAACTATGTTATGGTAAGTCTACATATGAGCCAAGTGGCCCATCAGGTTGACGCCTATCTCCAGTTTCTGTAGCATGAAGCGTTGAGGAGCATTTCTTCCCCCCCCCCCCNCATGAAGCGACTAGGAGTATTTCTACCCCCCCCCCCCCCCCCCCCCCCCTGGATGGGATGCTAGTCCATCACAGGGTTACCCCCAGCATTAAGTTCGCCGGTACCCATTTATACACCTGGATGGAGAGGCACTGTGAGAGTAAATTGTCTTGCCCAAGAACACAACACAATGTCCCTGAGCAGGACTCAAACCTGGACAGCTCAATCCAGAAGCGAGCACACTAACCATGAGGCCACAACACCTCCTCAAACTGTTATAGAATGTACTAATTAATGGAAAATTGTAATTTATCTTGTTTCAGGCAACCCAACGATTTTTCTCTCAAGAACTTGGCGACCATCTGTCCCCCTATGATTGCTTGGACCTAATGAACCTGTGGTTTTTTCTGATTGCCATCAGCGACAGCTGTGCCATCATTGGTTCTTTGATGAAAATGCTGATTGATATCAATGTAACTAAATTTCTCTGATTTTGTGTTTTAGATAAAAGGTGTCGATTAATTTGCATTTTAACATAACATGTAGAGCTGTTGTTGTATTAATTTTATTGCCTCAAGTTTGGAGACATATTTTTAGTAATAATTTACTTCTGTCTGTGAATTAAGTGAACACCCATGGAACCCTCGCTAGGGGAGAAATGCAAGGTTTTCGATAAATATGGGAAGAAACCTTTTGAAATTTACTAAGCTGTACAGGGACACCCAGCAAGCTCATTTGTTGTTTAGTTCTTCAGTGGTGCAGTGGTTAGCAGGGAGGGTGGTGCAGGAGGGATGAGCGACACTCTTTTGGTAATCTTAAATTTCTCAGTTCCATTGGGGTATACTAAGGCAGATTAAAAAAAGCCGTAGTTTTGTTTGAGAAGATTTATACTCATAATATTAATATTCTGGCATTTCTGTATTAGGGCTGTGGCAGCATAACAGTTTTTTTGTAGGCCTGGCTATTTCCATGTAGAAAAAAGCTCAAAAAGTACATGCGTTGATTGGTTTAAAACTGTGTTACAATAACTCGATAGAAACACAGAACTAATACTGGCTGTTGACGTAATGATGGCATATGTAAAGAGAATTTACATTTGATGATCAAAGTGAACAAGATGTTTCCTTTTTTGTCACAGAATTTGAAAACATGTTCTGTGTGTTTCCATCGAGTTATAGAAACTCTCATGGATATTTTGGGAGGACTCCAAAAAGCTGTGGAAACACTTACCTGTCAGCTCATGTTCCCACAGGATTTCTCGTTCTCCCAAACTTCCACTTGCATTTTTATACCCGAAAACTAAACATAGTACGTTACCGGTATTTCTATTTATTAAACATTGACTTATTTACTGAGAAGAGACCTTGTCCCTCTGTTTGCAGGATAACACACAGTACACAGTTTGCAGCATATTTCTGGGTATTGCAGTGCTGCTGACTTGGTGTGGATTATTAAGATATCTGGGACATTTCAGGAAGTACAATGTAAGTTAAACTCAGGGGTTTCTTTAACATTTTTGGCAGGAGGGCAACTGGTTTTCACAGGCGGGCAAAACTATTAGAACTGAACTTCTTTGTTAGAAAAAACTTTCCGCTAGATGGTCTAACCAGCTGGGCAAAATAAGATTATTGTCCTCGCGGCCGGTCAATTTGTCCGGTGCCTGGCCCTTAATGAAACCCCTGTCAGAAGTGAGAGCTTTGTGTATGAGTGAAAATTGTTATTTTTTACCATGAGATGCGAACACAAACAACAATGTCACCAATTGAAGGGATTTTGCGTTAGTCATTCAATCACAATAAATTCAGTTTACCGTTTAATTGTTGTCATACTGTTTGTAATTATTTGGCTAGCTCTGCAAGTTGGGAAAATAAAGCAGCTCCTGTACTGTGGTTGGCTACCTGATCAGGAAAGATGTGGCTATTTTGTCCCGTCAGGATTGCTGATAATGCCGCACAAGAAAGATAGTTTTTAACCGAGAGTGAGGTCTTTACCTTACGGAAAAATCTCAGACCAAGATCTTTCTATTGCTCATTCAATATGGCAAGGCCGAGGCTTGAGATTTTCTCGTAAAGACTGAACGTTTGATTTTAATAAGTTGTTTTTTATATGGCTTTTTGCATTGTTTTTGCAGGCCCATAATCGGTCCATGGGCATTACAAGAGAATTAAGCCCTAGAATTAGCTAATCAGAGAGTGCATTGAGTCGACTACAAACACAACTTGTTCAGTCAAGATTTCTGGCTTGATATCTGCTAACTACTTGTGTTGTTTTTGTGTCTTGTAATTTTATTACAGATTCTGCTGGTTACATTAAAGGCTTCGGCACCAAGCGTTCTGCGATTCTGCGTGTGTGGCTCACTGCTATACTTTGGCTTCTTGTTTTGCGGTTGGATCGTCCTTGGACCTTATCATATCAAGGTAGGACTACGGTAAATTTCAAGGACTCTGATCAAAAACTAGTCTTCTTCCATACCCATGATATGGGTTGTCACACAACACTTGTACCCAGCAGACTACCCAACATTGTGTGACCCACAGAGTAGTCAAAAGCATCTATCCTAAGCGGGGTTTGGGGGCGTGGGGGGGGGGGGGGGGGGGGAGTATTGTTCTTAATGAAAGGGCTCTCTATCATGTCATATCCAACGCACGCTTGTGGAATAATTCTTAATTATTTCCTTGTAACTATTTCATTGCTTGGGTAATGGGCTCCTGTGCTTGTATTAAACATTTCAAACCAGGGAAAGGTACTTTTTTGGAATATCTGTCTTAAGTCTAATTTCCTTGTTTTCACTCTTGTTTTGCTATTTTTTCCTAGTTCCGCGACTTGTGGACTGTGTCAGAATGTATGTTCTCGTTGATCAACGGTGACGACATGTTCATGACATTTGCCGAGATGAACCAAAAGAGTTATGCTGTGTGGGTCTTCAGCAAAATCTACCTGTACACCTTCATCTCGCTCTTCATTTATGTGGTCCTCAGCTTGTTCATTGGTATCATCAGTGATACCTACGAGAGAATCAAGGTAGAAATGGCTAAGTGATTTGTGAGCAACCTTCTGATCAAATCCTGATCAGAATATATTTGGGTTATTGGCCAAGTGTGAGGTCAAGATGGCTGGATATTGGCCAAGTTTTTTCTTTTTGCGTGTTTATGGACCGAGACAGAGTTGAGGTCCATAAACACGCAAAACAAGAACGAGGCCAATATCCAGCCATCTTGACAGAACAAGCTTGGTCAATAAAGGATTTATTATATGGAAGAGAACACTATTTTCTTGCGGGACACAGCGGGTAATCCCGAGCGAGTAGCCAATCACAGTGCAGGATTCGGCTCATCTTGTCCGCTAAAGAAGCTAGCCATATTTTATACTTATTTAATTAGCCAGAAATGCATCAGTACTTTTAGTTACGGTCAATTGTTAACCTCTCTAAATAAAGTCGTTACCTGTCCTCTTTTGTACGTCAAACCTTTTCTCTCCACTGGTACTCGGCATCTTGAGTTGTTTTGGTCACGTTCAAAATTACCTTTACATTGAAGGAAACCAGAAAAGTAGTAGTTTACTAAGGTAGAAAAACACCAAAGAGACAATAATAGACCATAAAGGAACAAGGACGTTTAAGGATGGAGAAGATTGACACGGATTGCAAACAATGAACTTGAAAAATACAGGCTAAGTTTTCGAAGATGCGAAACCATGACGTAGACCCTTAAATTTTTCAACTGTCTTCTCGGTGGTTGGAAATGTGGTAAATCACGGTGTTTCATATATTATGTCGCGAACCGGCTCTCAGTAATTCCTTTTCTCTTTGTTAACCGTTTCCCCTTTGTCATCTTTTTGTTAACTGTTTTTCTCTGCTAACTGTTTTGCCCCTTTCTCTTTCAGGACTGGGGACATCCCCCATGCACAAAGCTACAGCGCTTTGTCCACGGTAACAACTGCCAGCGGTGTAACTCTGAGTACAGAGAGGAAGCGGGCGAAAACGAAGTTACCGGAGCAAGCACCACGGAATAATGACGCTTGATTAATTCTACTATGAAACATATCGCAATTTACTTTAAAAGAAAAATTGTACGTCATAGAGCCAGGCTTCTATTGAGAATTAATTTTGTATGGGAACTTCGTAAAAGTTTGAGTGGCAAGTTAACTTATTTTTCTTGAAAATGATCTTTGGCCAACCTCATTCACAATTTCCTTTCTAACTCCTGGAGAAGAAAGAAAAAAGTCCTGATTGATAGTTTCTTTGCTCTCTCCTGGAAAAGAGAGAAAAAACAGTCGTGTAAATTTGTAACAGGGAATAGAAAAATTCACTACGTATTTTAATTACTTTAGCTTTAAAGATGATTTCCGGTCCGTTCTGCGCAGTCTCAGCACCCTAATATTTTTGTGTCTCACTCGACGGAATGCAAATCGATGTTTTTCAATACAAACCACATACCTTATCTTTGAGGCCTTTCAAATTCTTCTTCCAAGAGCTTCATTGATTTTTGCATCCGTGAAGTTGTTTCATCAAGTGATATGAGAAAGAACGAAGCATAAAGCATGAAGCTTCGCAACCATTTACTTCATGTAAGTAGTAGTGAAATGTTATATTTTGTGATGTCTTACATGACACAAATCAAAAAAACGTAAACAAACTCTTGAGAGTGCTCAGTACGGACTGGAAATAATCTTTAACTTTATGGCATATCCCTCTGTATATAACAATTCTACGAATATTTTTCAAGATGTAATTTGTACAAAATTTAGGGCGTCTCATTAATAAAGATACTATAATAAAAGGTTTTCTGGCCTTGAAGTTAATTATAGAAAGTAAAGTGTAAACCTGCTTTCCATCCATCAAAAACGTCTAGCAAATCTTAGGGTGCGTTCCTTTGGGGTGATCTAGATCAATGATCCAAGATCACTCAGATCATGGTGCATCAAAGGAACTGATGAATCCACTCTGGTCACGAATTCATCGGTTTCTTTACTGCGTCTTTCAATAACAAACGGACTCTAAAATTCAAAGCTCAACCGACAAATGGGTTTTTCGCTACCGTCAATCAAATGTTCAGCAGTTCCTCCCAGCTTCCGACTACTGACGATCACTGTTTCGTTGTCTGAACTGTGCTCAACGATTTGATTACCTCGCGCTCGGCAGTAGTCGAAAGCTGGAAGGAGTCGCCGAACATTTGATTGACGGTAGCGAAAAACGCATTTGTCGGTTGAGCTTTGAATTTTAGACTCCGCGTGCTATTGAAATGCGCAGTAAAGCACCATGATCCAAGTGATCTTGGATCACTGATCCTGATACAAAAGATGAGGAGGATCGAACTCCCATATTAAAAGGTCGGGGATGCTCGTCGGAAAATTTGAATGAAATCCCTAAAAGAGATCAATCTGGGTGTGGCTCGAGCTTTATTCGACCCCTAAAAGATACCACTTAAAAGCGAACAGGCTTGATTACCAGCTGCTGTTCAGGAAGAGAGCCCACTATAGTGGACCGGACTCGTAAGAGTGGCGGAAAACGAGCCTAAAAAGGAAATAAGACCGTTTTTTAAAATTACTATCTCTTCGACTGCACCCTAAAAGATACTTTGCCAGCTAAAGATAGTGGCGTTTCGTGATCAACGGGTGCTTTCCATTATGCCAAACCGACCGGTCAGAGCCCAGTGGGAATACCCGAGGAAAATCTCAATTAAAATGGAACGACGTTTTCTGATCAAACCGGGCCATGGCTCTTGCCATTTTTCATTCATTTTCCCAACCCCCCTCATAAGTGAAGAGAAGTAGGACAATGGACCGGTTTGTCAAAAATGGAACGACCAATATTCCGACCGAAATAAGTGGGCCACCTTCAGAGGTGATCCCGAATATTCCGGTCGGAAGAAACCGAAACGGACGTTTCCATTTGACTTCCGACCGAAATTTCTGGAATCTTTGGCATAATGGAAAGCACCCGACATTAACAAGCTAAGTGAGACCAGAAACCTTGATTTATACCCCTGAGCAAGACAACGAGCATCCCCGACCTGTCCTTTTCATTTGGGAGGTCCCTCCCTCCTCCGAAAGCCGTTGTCTCGACTCTGTAACGCTCAAACTTGAATATGAAGAACGTGAGGTAGCTATTCAGGAGTGCAAGAGACTCTAATGAAACCGAGTTATATCAGAAAAATGTGGAGCAATATTTTTTTTAACCCAACGGACGGGCAACGAAACCTATTCGGTGATCCTTATTCTTGGAAATGCCTCCAGCTGTTTCGTGACGTCAAGTCCCCAGAAAGGCGCGTGGACTGGATACGAGTTTGTTTTTTTTCCCGCCAATTTCAGATTCAATATGGCGGAGCTGGTGGCGGACAGTACGGAGATTAGCTCGCAAAATGAAGAGAATTCAGTGGTACAAGATGAAGATCAGCGTGCAAGACTTACACAGTTTCCACAAACTCGAGTTCGTAATATGATGAAAATCGATCCAGACCTTCATTTAGCCAACAGAGAGTCAGTCTTCCTCTTAACAAGAGCGGCGGTAAGTGAATTCGGTTCTTGCTGACAGCTTTCTAATTGACAGTATTCTAATGCTATGATGCAAACTTTAATAAGCTTACTTTCGCAGCCTGACTGAATTAAGGCTTTAATATTTAAAACATAAATGTTCTTGCGCAAGTGAATGAACATATCTGCGAAGATCATTGATGTTTTCATTAATGTTGTTAGTTTGACTTTATCTCATCACCACAGTGTACTGAAAACTATTGTTACAAATATCTTTGCAGTCAATACTAAGCTTGTAAGCTTAAATTCTGCATTTTTGTTACTTTCAAAGTAGGTTCATAAAACTTACGCATAAAATTTAAGATCCCCTTAAATTCTGATCAGCCCTTTCCTGAAAATAAGCACACCCAAACATAAGTCTCCCATATCCCACTTCAAAGAAGCCCCAACAGACCCTTGATCGACACTCAATAGCTACTCAGTTGACACTCCATTGACACCTTGGTTGACATTCCATCAACACTTCATCAGCATCTTGGTTGACAGTCAGTCGACAGTTGACTAATTTTTAATTGATGCATATGAGTCAGTTGACACTCTGCCAGCTGCTGACAGATTGTTGATCAAGTGTCAACCAAGTATCGATTGGGATGTCGCTCGAATACCGAGTCTCAAATGTCAATCAAGGGTGTCGATCAAGGGTATTGATCAAGGGTATTGATTGACACTCGACCGTGGATGCCTTTAGTACACATTTATCACATGGCAAACTGTTCCAAGATGAAAAGGAGGCTTCTGATTGGTTCCCTGAGCAGTACAAATAAATTTTTCCAAGTAATGAATGAGTTGCCAGTAATCGGATACCCGTGTTTGTGCAAAGAACTCTGATATCGTCAGGGGGCAAACATTGCAAGTCGTTAGAAGGAAATGTATGGCGAAAAGTTGTTTCGACGCCCAAAAACATGGTTTTAGGGAGAGATCAACGCTTTACCGCCATTGTTTTATCGCAAATGGATTTTGGCAATGTTGATACATGGAAAATGTAAGTTTTTGTTTGAATAACCATGAAATAAGTGATAAAATTTACCGATAAACTACCTTTTGCCTGCGTGAGGTTTATTGTGAAATACATCAAAGAGAATATTGAAAATTTCAATACACACCTGATCTCGAGAGGCTACCCAGAGCAAATGGTAGAAAAGACCCTCCGAGAAGTTATATATAAAGACAGAAAAGAAGCTCTAAAACAGAAATCGAAAATTGCAGAAAAGGAACTACTACCCTTTGTGTCGGGCAATTTCACTCAATCGTCAATACCAAACTTTGGAAAGCATAATCACGCACAAATGGAACTTTTAAATACAAATGCTCAGAGATATATTCAAGGAGCCACCCTTGATCTGTTATAGAAAAGGAAAATCACTGAAATACGTGCTTGTAAAAGCAAAACAAAGGCTTTGAGCAAGACAGTAGCCGCACAGCATGAGTCGCGCGGACTCGTTTGTCATTAAATCAACCCCAGACAGTACAATGATCGCCAGCGGGCTTATTTCCAGTATTATTTGTATGACTGAACTTTCAAATAAGCCAAAAGTAGCCTGTACACAACTTAAAAGGCTTTACTGGGTTATTTCCTCTCGATTTATACCTAATTAATTTTGTATATTTTCAGACCATACCGCGATGTAAATTTCACAATAAACCTCACGCAAGCAACAGAGTTTACCGGTAGATTTTGTCACATATTTCACAGTTATTCAAACAAAAACTTACATATTCCACATATCAACATTGCCCAAATCATTTCGCGATAAAAACGACGGCGAAAAAGCGTTGATCTCTCTCAAAAATCGTTTTCTTGTACCTCGAAACAACTTTTCGCCATACATTACCTTCTAGTGACTAGCAATGTTTGCCCCCTGACGATCCCAGAGTTCTTCGCGCAAACACGGGTATCCGATTACTGGCAACTCATTCATTGTTAGACAACTCTTATAAGTTTCCACAAAACGTTGCACATGCCAAAAGAAAACAGATTTCTGTATGCTGATTTTAAGATTACTTGGATCATGTGTACTAAAGGCATCCCTTGTCAAGTCTTGATCTTTACGCTTTATCTGATTGATACATCTCATTTGACATCTCAGTCACTACTAGATCAACACTCAATCATCCTCTCCATCAATACTTGGTTAACACTTGAACGACAGTCGGTCAACAGTCGACTAACTTTCACAGACACGCCATTAAGTGTCAATCGATAAATATGAGTTGGTTGAGACTCTGCCAACTATTGACCAACTGTAGATCGAGTGCTGACCGAGTGTTGATTGAGAGGTCAATCAAGTGTCAATCTAGTGTTGAGCGAGTATCGATCGAGATGGCGACCAAGATGTCAACTGAGTATCAATCGATTTCAATGGAGTGTCAATCGAGGGTTGATTGAGGGTATTGATTGATATGCGACCATGGATGCCTTTAGTACACATGATCCGATTATTTTTAGGTAGCTTATTATCAGGATTTTACAGTATTCCCAAAACATGCCTCCTTGACAATGTGTAAAATGATATCTTAATAATAATTTCACCAATATTTTAGGAGCTATTTGTTGAACATTTCGCTAAGGAAGCACACAAAAGGACTGTTATAGGAAAAAGAAAAACTATACAGAAAAGAGACCTGGGTAAGTTGTTATATTTTGACATTTTAGAGCTTTCCAATGCATTTTTTTAGAACATATAATAATTATTACATTTTTTGTATTTTACTTTCTTTTGCTAGACACAACTGTTGATGAAAATGAAGAAATGGCATTCTTAGAGGGTAAGTAATGCCATGGGGTTCCCCTGGGGTTGATTCTTAGACTGACTAATGGATTCTCGAGAAATACAGGGGGATTGCATAAAACCTTAAGTAGGGAGAAATTTAGGGTTTTGTTATAAGTGTGAAGATAGGGAAGAAGAATTTATAGGATTGTAATTCTCTTAATCCCTTGTTATTGGAAATTAAGAGGAATAATCTGCAAAGAAAAATACATAGCATAGCCTTGTTCTAAGCGTAGACGATGTGTCACTCTTTGCTTTTTTCCATACTTACTTAGGTAGCATCCAGGTTTGATAAAAAAGAGTAACTGTTGATGCCAATGAGGAAGTGCCAGAGATAATTTGATCAAAATGAGTTGATACAAATTATGCAATTCGTTAGACATCTGTGCAGTGTTTCTGATGAAAAATTACTTAGGTTGAATTTTCTGCTGTTCTACAATTTGTTACTAACAGGATGTTTGTTTCTGTTCTTTACACACAGGTACATTAGACTAAAATCATTTAATGATAACCTTGATCGTCGACAAATGTTACCATGTGAAACATCCCAAGAAAGAATCAAGATCAGGGATTTTATATAGTGTGCAAAGAACTATTGACGTCATGTAAATAAACTGTAGATTGATGATATGGACCGAAGAAATAATATTACCCTCCCCTCCCCAACTGAGTACAATTTTAGGTTATTTATTTCCTACTTCTTTAATCATCCTATGGTACCTATTAAAATTAAAGGATAATCAGGCCATTTATTTTAGATTCGTGGAGAGTTTCCAAAAGAAAGGTCTTGTATTGTGATTTACAGCTAAAATAACCATTTGTGAAAACAACCATGGTAAACTGTCATTCCTTGAAAATATCCATAAAATAATCAGATTTTATGTCAATCTAGCTTCGGCCCTCCAGACTTCTGCTGGTCCAGGAAAAAACATCAAATCTGCTCCACTCTTTCTAGCCATGCATTTCACGTTGTTTAATAAATATGAGCCCTCGCTTCACTTCCACGTCTTCCACGTCTTCCACGTCTTCCACGTCACGTACTCGCCTCTCCATCTGCGAGTATCATTACTTACGCCTTTTCAAGATTGAATTTCGAAACCGGAAAGCGCTAAATTACTGAGCGTCCCACTATAAAATCTATCTCTGTCTCTCCGTGTCCTTCATTTTTAAAAGAGAAGCGTGCAGCGAGTTTTTCCGTTTCTAGCTTGTATCTCGAAAGAACTCGCTCGAACGTGACCCTCCATACGAAATCGCGCGCGTAATCTTTATTTTGCCGAAATGCGCTCACATCGGGCTGTCCAGCTCTCCCAGTATTTTTTGCAAAATTTAGACGAGACTTTGCTTTTATTACTATCACTTAAAGCAGTTCTCTGTGTATTCTTCTGAGAAAATTGCACGTGTTTTTCTCTTTTCCTTTGTTTGTTGCACATGATGAATTCACTGGAAGGCGGTCATGTCCATATTTGCAGTTCCGTACTTTCCTTATTTGTCGAATGGCACCCATAAGGACAAACGCGTGGCGCAGTTCATTCATTTCGTATGAGTGCCGCCACGATAAGGTTGTGAGATACTTGCAAAAGTCCATTTAATTTGAACCGTTCTCTTTAGTTGGATATTTCCAAGATCACAGCCTAACAATGTATCGAACAGCCTTTCGCGCGGGCCGCCGATTGTATGCCAGCAAACTATGGAAGACAGTGCAAAGTGATTTTCCGTCGCGTTCTAGAACGATCGGCGCTTCGGTTCTGCTAGCGCGTTCCTCTTCCAGCGCCAGCCAGAAGTTTAGTATGAGCCAGATAGCTCCTCCAACAGATGCGTTTTCTCTTCGACATATTGGTCCTGATGCGGCCGAGGAGAAAGAGATGCTACGAACACTGAATTTGCAGGTAAATGATACCACGGCGAAATCTCGTGCTGTTTTCGCTTGTCCTGTCTCACAACATCTTTTTAATTTTGTTTTATGTTCTTAAGCTGACTTATGGCAATGTTCTTTAGCATATAGATGAACTGATCGAGAGGACTTTACCATCTACCATCAAGTTTACAGGGCCTCTTGAGATTGATGAAGCATTGAGTAAGTTTCAGAAAGCCTCATGTAGATTTCACAGTTATACGTCTTTGTCGGGACTTCTTAATAATTAAATCCTTAACTATGAAACAAGAATAGCTATAGTGCCTATAAAATCTTCACGATGAGAACTGCTAAGAAGTCTTAGGAGCAGTAATTTGATTTATACGCAAGTTAATTGTGGGACAAATGTTTGGCGGGTTTTTTTATATTTCCGGCTGGCACAAAACTGATTACGGAAGGCGTTTCGCCTCAATTCTTGGAAACAAATGACTGTTTGTGTTTGTTCTCGTCTCGTTGTTCAGGTTTCAGGTATACTAATCGTAAACATGTGATCTGGCTTTTTTTTGTGAAAGACCCAAGATATTTCGTCGTGTCGTAATATTCCGTCGTGAAACGTAATACAATTTCAAACCTTATAAAATATACACAATTGCATAATATGTCACGTGTATGTCACACAACGCTAAGAGTCGATATTGTCACGCAGCGTTTTAGTTCGCAATTTTGCGTAAAATGAAGAAGTGATTTTTTTTGTCGGGTTGTTTTAGTTGTATAATTTTTTACATCTCTAGAAAACTCTTCAAAACAATTTCTACTAATTTTAACAGTGATATTTGGCTCAACACAACCTACAAGTGGTTTCCTTGCCCCAAAACAGCTGAATTTAACCTTTCTCTATGACAGAGAAAGATTTTACAGCTTTTTTAAGTTGCAATTACTATTTAGGGTTGTAATCTTGAAATTTTATCAAAGGGAACTGGGGAGGATTTTTTTTAAGACCTGACAAGGAAAACCATGTCTGCATTATCCCCCTAATCCCTTGGATATCCTAGGGATTTAACCCCTGGGAATTCTGGTGATTTGTGCCATCAGCTCTTAGATTCTTAAATGAGGTTTACTTTTTAGGTGAACCTGATCTTTTGGAAAAGTTGCGACAAGTGGCAAAACATAATCAAGTTTGGAGATCATACATCGGCATGGGATACTACAATTGCCATGTGCCGACAACAATCTTGAGAAATATTTTAGAAAACCCTGGCTGGTATGTATGAGTTGAAGTTTAGGTTGATATAAATTTTATTATTTATATTTTGTTTTGTACTGACCAAACTAACGTTCACATTGCCTTTGAAAGCCTTGATGACTTTACACAGGCTGTTATTCAAATGTGTCTGTCTCATTGAAGGTTTTGGTTTCTCCTTTCCCATTCAGGACCACGCCCTACACTCCATACCAACCTGAACTGGCACAGGGGCGATTGGAGTCCTTGCTGAATTTCCAGACAATGGTCAGCGACCTGACGGGGCTTGACATTGCTAACTCATCTCTTTTAGATGAAGCAACATCAGCCGCTGAGGCCATGGCACTGTGCTATAGGTAGGCTTTAGAAGAATAATGTTATTATCACTGATAAAAGCATTTATTCAATAGTGGGTCTGCACATTGTGTAGCTTATATTATAAAATACATTGTCATCCTTTCTTTGCCTGTGAAGTATTTTGTAAATGATTTTCTTTGTCAATAGGTACAACAAGAAACCAAAGTTCTTCGTAGATCGGAATTGCCACCCTCAGATTATTTCCGTTGTGGAGACCAGAGCTAGGTGAAGATAAATAACATTATTATCCTAAGTGTTCACCTTCACCTTCACCTTCACCTGTCCCCTGGCGCCAAGTTGGTACATAGAGCCTCATCCTAAGTGTAGTTTTATAAATTATACCATTTCATGTAATATCTAGAGGGAGGCATAGAGTGAGGGATTCAAGTTGAGGCCCAGGCAGTTTACTGTGTTTTGTTCAAGTGGGCAAAACACTCTACTCTCGCAGTGCCTCTCTCCACCCTGTTGTATAAATGGGTATTGGCTAATTTTATGGAGCAGATTACAACCCTGCAATAGAAACCGGAGTTGAGGGAAACCTGTCTCTGCAAGATCATGGTTGGGAGATTTAATAATCTGATCATTAGTGCCTTTGACTCCAGATTAAACACTCAAGAACTTTGTGATCGCTGGTTTGGGCCAAATGTTGTGTTGAGTTCTGAGAGAAGAAGTTATTCATAACTTTCACCACCACGAGAACTAACCTGGTGTTGGACTTCCATGCCACTTAGAGGATACTCTGTAGTAAAACTCCTTATTGTTTCATGCTATGGAAACCAGACTTTCCACTCAGTCAAACGTTGTGGAAATTTTGGTTGAGGGTGTAAATGGCAAACCCTTTTTCTCTTCACCCCTCTGAAAGGTTACCAAGAAAAAATAGGGCACTTCTTGGCACTTCCCTCTAGGAAGTTCAGTCTGTTTTTTCTTGGGAATTTTCCAGTAGGATTACTTTAGTCAAATTTTACTAAAGGTTTGGTCGAAGGGTAAATGGCAAACATTTTAATTTTCAGTTCACCCCACTATGAAATTCAGTCTGTTTTTTTTTTCCCTAGGAATTTTCCAGTGGCATGAACGAGAAGAGCATGTACATAATTTATGTTGACTTGTGAGATTTTTGTAGAAAGAAAGTTTTAATCTCTTCTATTGTCTTTTTTTCAGTACTCTAGGCCCTGATGGTGAGGGTTTACAGGTGGTTATCGGTGACAAAGAATCTTTCGACTTTTCCAACCAAGATGTCAGTGGTGTGTTGTTCCAGTACCCAGACACCAATGGCAAAATTGATGACTTTTCTGATCTGGTGGAAAGAGCTCATGATGCCAAGGTATGTGACAAGTAAAGTACTAATCAAAATAAAATATTTTTAATTAGTAGCGAGCCACTCAGCTCTGTTCTATTGGCTATCATTATCCACAAATCTGTTTGGTTGTGATCATTGAACTCGGTCAGCTGCAGAGCAAGAGTAAGACAGATGAAACCTGGAGGGAAGGGGGTGGGGGGTGGGGGGTGGGGAGATGTCTGTATTATACTGAGGAAGATGATTGTTGAACCTTTCAGGGTTTTAAAAATCATTTATTAGTAAAGATGTACCTCTTCATATTAGGAGGTTATTTCCTGGACTGTTAGTAGCAATATGTTCTTGAAGAAATTTGCAGCTGATAATATGCAAACAGTTTCTTTTATTTCAATGCATAGGCTTTAGCTGTATGTGCCACAGATCTTCTTGCTCTGACTATACTGAGGCCTCCTGGTGAATTTGGTTGTGATGTTGCCATAGGATGCACACAAAGATTTGGAGTTCCTCTCGGTAAGCTAGTATACTAACAGTAGCATGTTATGTTCAATGTTGTAGTTTTGTTTTTGAGTCACTTGGAGACTACTTGTTGAGCTTTGTGCATTGTCATCTTTATCATTATCATCATCACAGTGTCTGATCTAGGATTTCACTTTAGGGGGACATTCTGTCCCAGTCAAGAATTTTCAAGGGGACATTCCAGTTTTATTGGCTTGTGAAAAATAAGAAAAGTTGTCAGCATAAATGAGTTATGGGTAGTACATGTATGTTGTAAAGACAAAAAAAAAATAAATAGGGGGAAACACAACTTTATTCATTAATACACAGTTCTCAATGCACTAACTACTGGTTTCTCCTGGAGAGCAACGGAATTTACAACAGCTCTTTCAAAATTGCTGGCCATATGAACTTCCTTAAGAGCATTTTGATCATTTTGACTTTCTATGTGGTGAGTCAGCGTCAAAGTTCTGAAATCAATGCAGCCAGAAGTGAAGGGATTTGCTTTGCTAGACCCAATGCAAATCGAACGCAACATACCCTTTGTGTTTTCGTATCGCAACCACTTGAATTTTTCCAACCAGGTAGATTGAAAGTTTCTCCTTTCTTCTTTGGCTTTCGGGTCGACAAAAGGTTCACATTCATCAGTATCACTCAATTTATCTTCGTCAACGTTGTCGATTCTGCTGGTTTCCGTTTGTGGTCTGTGTTCTTCTCTTTTGTTTTCTCGACCAAAGAATGAGAATATTCTTTTCTGCTTTGACACGACAATAATATAGCAGAATGACAAAGAAAACAACCCAAATAACTTGTCGTGTTTCATCAATCAAGCGTGAAAAGTAAGGGGTTCACAATGAGCATGTGCATTTTTTATAAATTGACCCCCTATAAGAATTATTCTACTTGTTCCCAGGAATCTCATCTCGGCCTCTGGCAGCCATTTTTATTTGTCCATGTCGTAAACATTCGTAAAACGCACGCTGTTTTATATTGTCAATTCTATGAAACTTTAAATCACACAAAGTTTTCGAAAAACTTAGGAAACAGAGGAAAATTACAAGTCGGTAGCTGCAGATGTTTGCTGCGCCAAAATGATCCATGTGATGAATATTTGGGGGACATCTTCTATTGAACTGCGCCAATCCCACAATGACGCGCTCTAGATCACACACTGCCTCATCATTGTTATTATTGTCATAACCATCATCAATCTTGTCATCCTTATCACAATCATCATCATTATCGCCACCGTTATCATCGCATCTTTGTTATTAATCCTTTTGATTGGAATCTTGAGAGATGGTTGTTTGTTGGGCTGTGATCAGGTTGTAATAGATACATTGAGCTATTAGATTACATACTTTGTAGATTAGGGGAAAAAGTGACAAAAAATATCTCTGATTCTTGGAAAAGTGCAAAGTCAGTAACATAATTGTATTGGTCTCTACTTACAGTGTAAAATGTTTGTATGGAAAATGTTTAAATGAATGTATGTACTGGCACCTTTCACTGGAAAGCTCATTGTTTTTGTTCATCATCAGGCTATGGAGGGCCCCATGCTGGTTTCTTTGCTGTGCGTGACATGGGAAACTTGAAGAGGATGCTTCCAGGGAGAATGGTTGGTGTGACAAGGCAAGTTCAGAAAGATGTACTGACTGTTAAATAATCCAGATTAAGGGCTTTCTAAGTCAAAACATTTTATTTTTAGTAACAATATTATAATAATGACTGTTTGTAGGGATGCTCAAGGCAAATCATGCTATCGTTTAGCACTTCAGACACGCGAACAACATATCAGAAGAGACAAGGCTACAAGCAACATCTGCACAGCCCAGGTAAGATATTACAAATTATTTCCCTGCTGGGTCAAAATTGTTTTCAATCATTTGCTTTGACTGTCACGTGTATGACAATGTGCATTTTCAGAAAATATCCATACCCACCCCAAGGAAGGTTATTGGAAATTCTGAAGGGGAGGGGG